AATCTTGCCCAGAACACTATGCTAATATAACCAAATGCAAAAATATTATTTCTCGTGCATAGATTCATGGTTTCTAAATTAAATTAACGACGCTCCGAAACTTTCAATTACTTAACTAATGTAACGATCAACGTCCCGGAAGCTTTAACATTATATTTACGATGACACCATGGAGGCGTTAAAGGCATATGTGAGATACAGCTCCATGTTGCTTCTGTTCTCTTGATACTTATGTGGATTCCATTTCCAATAAATTCACGCATGGTTGCACACACACAACCCTTTTATGCCTTGCACCTCATAACTTTTTAATAGCTTTAATTGATTGCTTCGTATGGGTTAGGTTACACACACAACGCAAGCTAAAAATAAAATTACTAGTGCCTTAATATTAGAGCTTAACTCAATCAGGTTCATATGGGCGTTTTTAGGTGTCAAAAAATATTATTAATTATCTTGATGGGTGAGAAGATCGTGCGATATTGGAGAATTATTAATAAGGATTTTCAGGCTCTGATGTTGGCTGTCGAAAGTGCCTGAACTGATCTTTGGGAACTAGGGACGCAGAATCTGTTAGGAGGTGCGGCTCGAATATGGTATCCTGGAAATATTATGTATGTTCAGGAGGGAGTCATTTATTGGCGTTCAAGCGTATTTCAGTTTGATAAGTTCTAATAGAGCCTTATAGTTTTTCAGTAAAAAAAAAATGGACTTATTTTTTCAAAACTTTACATGAAAAAATCATAACTAAATTGTTTTAAATTTTTAATGTGTTTTCTCAAACTCTATCAAAAACGTATATAGTCTATCGATAGTCAAATGAGACAGTAAAAAAAAATAATATTCCTTTGGCCGTCGGCGTTTTCTTTATGAAGCACGGGCGGAGTAAGAGAAATTTATTAAAACAGTTTTATATAAAATAAAACATGAGGCACGATACAACTCAAATAGGAATCAAATTTATAAAAACTATCTACTGCACTGTTTTTCAAGACGAAACTGATTAGCAAGCGGCGGCCGCTTCAAAGAAATATGCCTCCAAAGACGCCGCTTCAAAGAAATATGCCGCCAAAAACGCCGCTAAAAAATCAACGTTGACTGTATAAAACAACCAATAAGATGCATTGTTCGCACGTGGATTCGCATCCAATGTATACGGGCACGCTCAATATATTTTTCCTAATAATAGTATAATAATTTTAACGGGCAATACGATAATTTGAGGAGACCCCAATTTTTGCCTTGTCTCATTTGAGAAACGATAGACTATACCTAAGGATCCTAAAAATATATTTTTTTTTCCTTTTTCGTGAATTTTCAGTTAAAATTCGTATATTCGTAATGAGTAGCTCTAACGATGCCGAGATCACTTTCCGTAGCAAACTAGTCTATAACTGACACATTTTTGGAAGTCTGTTACGTCTAAAAACTACCTTGAAAATATGTATTGAGATACGGCTGACCTATGAGTTGAAAATCGTAGGTATTTTATATCAAGAAGGCTTAAAAAATGGCTTAGATTATCTTGGTAAAATTCTAGGGCCCACTTGAAAATGTCTAAATGCATGTGGTATACCCAATATTGGGTTTGTGCTGTTCCAAGAAAAAATGAACTTGCTAAGGGAACTGCCTTGTGGACGTGTGCTTTCGTTAAAAGAAATAAAAACAGATCCAGAAAAAGTCCAGGCAGTATGAGATTTGCACAGACCAATGAACAAACATTAAGTGAGAAGCTTATTCCTAGAACTCTGAACTGCAGCTACTACCGCTTGTTTGTTAAGGACTTTAGAAAGATTGTCAAGCCTTAACACCAACTAACTAAGAAAAATGCGCACTTTGATTGGTTGCCAGAATGTCAGTCTTTCGTAGAGCTAAAACTCAGATTGATCAACCTACCAAACATCACCGGAACTGGATTTTGATCAATGCCACTTGACTAAATGATGCTTCCATTTTCTTAGGGCTTTTCAATAAGCGTATGCTTTTTCTCCACTTACAACTTTTTCCTCTTCGAATGTTCTCGATAAAAATACCACTGGTATTTCTCTTTGACTCAAAATTGCAACAATTATGCGAAATCTAAAGAACTTATCAGATTTAACAACTCAAGTTTCTTTTAAATATCGATTATCCAAAGAATTGATTCAGCAATATTTATAACAATTATGTTGAAGTAGGCAATTATGCAAGCACTGTTTTGCTTTGTTTTTTTGTTTTTGGATTTGTTACACACAGGCCTTATGAGGATAGGCTATCATGTAGTAGTGTGTATCATCCTTGCTACGGACGGGGTAATCTGTAATGTCACTCATGTTATGTGTCAAGACTGTCAAGCGAACAACAACAGGTTATGAACCCCAGTAGCGTGTAACGGTCGAGAAAATGAGAATCGGAAGGAAACGGCGGTGAAGTTGACGGTCAATATACATGTATGTAGAAGGAAAACGATAAGAAGAACTGTTAGCAGGAAAAGTAGGTTTAAAATAGGAACAATGTCAGTATCGGGTAGTCAAGGCTTTGGAAACTGGGAGTTCCGCATCAAGCTCCTTCTAGAGCACCATTACGTGTTGGGAATGCTGAAGCAAGATCCACCCACAGATTCAACATTGTTAGCAGCCTGGAAAAAGAAGGATTTGAGAGCCAGAAACTTGATAGTGCAGTGTTTAGGGGATATTATCCTGGAAATGATAAAGTCTTAAAGTACGGCTAAAGAAATCATGGAAACACTCAGTGAAACCTACAAGAAAAGTGCTAATCAAGTTCAGCTTCATAGCAAACTGAGGAATATTAAGTATATGGGATTTATGGGAAAAAACAATAATGGAATCGAAAAATTGTGGTGGCTCGATCAATGACACAGAAATTATAACTCATTTGTTAGCAGCAATGCCGGAGACATATCAGACAGTGGCAACTTTGGAATTTGTGAAAAGTCGCTTGCTGATGGAAGAAGATAGTCAAAAGAAGGTAACAAGTGAACCAAACTCAAGTAATGCATTTTTAGGATATGAAAAACAAAAACCAGGAAGAAAACAAGAACTGAATTTCCTTTCAAGTGTTATTTTTGCGGAATGAAGGGTCATAAAAAGGCAACCAAACGAGAAGTAGTGCCCATGAAGAAATTGCATTTTTAACATCTTTGACAAATAGTTGTGAGACCTCAGAGGAAAAATTAAATTTTATAGTGGATAGTGGTACCACAGACCACTAAATTACAGAGAAGATGGGAAAATATTTAGTGGAAATAACTAAAAAAGTGGATCATACTATAAAAGTAGCTAAGGAAGAGGTCACAGTTCAAGCACATTTGCAAGGAACTTTGTATTTGCAAAGTGAAAATGGTAAAAATATTAAGTTAGAGAATGTTTTCATGTGCAAAAATCTAATAATTTCTGTTAAAACACAACAAATTTGCACTCATGCGTTTTTAACTGAAAAAGAGCACGACTGCACGTAGTGCAAACGCATTCGGGCAAATTTCCCAAAAATTATCGATAATTTCCATTGCACTTGTTATATTACTATTGATAATTTCTAGCGATGTTTGTGGTCTGATCAACCCAGTCACAGAGGATGGTAAAAGATGTTCTATTACATCCATAGACTATTATTCGCATTTTTTAGTTGTATATTTTATGGCCAATGAAAGTGAGGCATGCAGCAAATTCAGAGAGTACTTGACGATGGTGTAAAACAAATTTAAGTGTGTGCCAGAAAGAATGCGAATAGATAATGATGAAGAATAATATCTTTCCCATGAGTTCAAGAATTTATGTAATCAAAAAGGGATCAAAGTGGAATACACCATACCAAGGACACCTGAGCAGAATGGCGTAGCGGAGAGGTATAATAGAACATTGTTAGACAAATCTAGGTGCCTAATTTTTGAATCCAGCTTAAATAAAAAGTTTTGAAAAGAAGCTGTTGCCACTGCAGCCTATTTCAAGAATAGAATTCCTACCTCTTCACTACCACAGAACAAAACCCCTGCAGAAATATGGTATGGGTATAAACCAAAGAAGAAAATTCGTATTTTTGGATGTGAATCATACGTACATGTTCCAGAGGAAGATCGGAATGTTAAACTCGATGAAAGGTCAAGAAAAATGTATCTTGTGGGCTATATATACAGATAATGGCTACCGAATGTGGGATCCCGGAAGGCAAAAAATTATCACAGCTAGGAATGTTGTTTTTAATGAAAAAAACAAAAAACAGAACAAGAAGGTTATAGAGAAGTCATGAATTGGGATGATAATCAAGAAACAGAGAGTGATGTTGAAATTGATAATGAAAATACAGAAAATCCAGAAAGGTACGAAACAACTCCAAGAGGTACTCCGAAATATTACCAAGGAGAATACCACAAAGACCAGTAAGAGAGAGACAGTTTTTGATCTGATGACAGCCTTATCAGTAGGAAGTTTTGTCGAAGGTATACCACAAACCCACAAAGCAGCATTAGAAATGGATACGAGCTGTCGAGAAGCAATTCAAGAAGAGTTAAGTGCACATAAGCAAAATGAGACTTGAGAGTATGTACCAAGGAAAAATGACATGGAGGTGATAAATTCAAAATGGATTTTTAATGAGAAGGAAAGGAATGGAGCAGCAATTAAAAAGGCAAGATTAGTGGCACGTGGTTTCATGCAAAGTGATCTGCAAGAAGATGTATATTCCTCTGTCGCTCGGATGTTGACAATTGGAGTGCTATTGGCATTAAGTGTACAGTGCGGTTTGAAAATTCATCAACTGGATGTAGGTTGTGCATTTTTAAATGGTATTTTGAAAGACCCAGTGTACATGGAAGTTCCAGATGGAATTGAAGATGTGAGACCAATTATGTATGTAAGTTGCGGAAAGCATTATATGGACTTAGGCAGTCACCCAAGTGTTGGTATGACCGATCGATAATTAAACCATTCTACTAAAAACATATTTCATATTTTCATCAACTTTATAGCGAGGCACCTACATTTAAAAATACACAATGAAACAATTTTTTGAGATGTACATTATAATTTTATTTATTTGATTATATCCAGATACATGTATAGGTCAATATTTTAGATCATAGTCCTTGCCAGAAAAAGAAAAACCTATTTCTTCAGTAAAATATGCGTGGTTAATGTTTCTTGAGCCTTGAGTCCTGCCCTAAGCCTAGCTCCAAGCTCTGCGTCAACTTTTTCAAATAAATTCTCAATCGTCCTTTCTGCAATAACGCTGTTCGTTTGCCTCAGCCAATTCAGTATATTTTCTATGGTCCTGTTCCTTTCATCTTCTTTTATAACCTGAAAATACATATAAATGCTAGAAAATGTCACACTTTCTATCTCTCGCTTAATAAACGATTCGAGACAATAATAATATCACATGGAAAAATAAATCTTTTAATAAATCTGAGCTGCTTGACAGTTTAAAAACCTACTAAGTATTTCGAAAATAAAAATTATTACTCAGCCGAAATCTATTTAAAAAAGTTGTATTTTCGAAATTATTAATGCCCATAAATCTACTCACTCTTGTCCATAAAAGTCGAGCCTGTGTATAATTATCAATTAATCCATTTTCAACACGATCAGTCAATCCGCTTATGGGTACTTTTGGAAATAGAGCCCTAGCTCTTTTATCAGCTTTGGGTCCTTCGAAGCTGTTTGGATAATAATTTGGAGCACCACCTTGACTTACAATTGTAGAGCGACCATCTCTATTGTAGTTATGTATCTGGAAATGTATAGTTTTATTTAAATCGACATCAGCTGATGATATCTTATTTAAAATGTAAGTTTTCTATGTTTATATCCACCTACTTTATGTAGTTGAAATATAAATCGAAACTACTGACATTTTTATAGTCGAAAAGATTAACTGTCCATGTTATTATGGCTGGCTTGCTTAATCGTTTTCAGTTTACACTTAAACTAACGATAAAATTTCAAAATAATGAACAATATTTCAAATTTTGGAATGCTTGTAGTTTATGATGCGACGGATTTTATGAACATTCCGGAAATATTTCAATGGAAAATTGACGGAAAAACCAAGAAAATGGTGGTGAAACGAAAATTATGTTCAAGTAAGACTCCAAGTTGATAATTCAGCTCAAAAGTTGTTTGAATTCTGGGTAGAAATATGTGGAGACATTTGAGACATATAAATCTTAGGTTGTGAAGCATCGATAACTTTGCCACTGATAGACATAACCACTACCGAAAAAAGAAAACACTTTTTACTTTCTTAATAAGACTTCGCCAATATGGAATTTATATTTACCTGAAAAGGAGCATTTACTGGCAACTGATTGACATTTACTCCCAATCTATACCGATGAGTGTCGCCATAGTTAAATATCCTCCCCTGAAGCATTCTATCGGGCGAAAAATCAATTCCTGAAACAAATTTTGCTTTTAAAAATTCCCCAAATTCATTTATCACCATTCCAAAATGAGAAAACACAATCACATTTTCAGCTCATAGAATTTACCTCATATCAGTCTGGAAATAGCTTCTATGATTATGTCGAAACAGCTTTAATAAGCTTGTAGAGACGAGACGACGTTTTTCATCAGCTGGGTAGGCGTTTTTCAGTAAATAGTAAACACATCGTGTATTTTTATCGTGTCCTTTACCCAAAAAACTATTTTTAACCCTCGACAATTTAATATGTTATATTGCCGCAATAGTTCAATGTCAAAATATAAATAAATTCTTACCAGGTATAACGTGAGACACATCAAAAGCTAATTGCTCAACTTCGGCGAAATAATTCGTAGGGTTTTTGTTGAGTACGAATCGCCCTACTGGAATTAAAGGATAGTCTCCATGTAGCCATACTTTAGAGTTGTCGAAAGGGTCGTAGGGATTTTTCGCAGCTTGTTCTGGAGTCATCACTTGAATGTAGAATGACCAAGATGGATAATCACCAGTTCTTATGGCATTGTATAAATCTCTAAGGTAATAGTCTGGTTGAACACCTGCTAATCTATCAGCTTCTTCTTGACTCAGATTTTCAATGGCTAGAATATCAATTTAGTAGTTATTAGTCATATGTATAGCAACTTACGTTGATCACTCCTAAAATGGAACTTGCAATAAACCAATTTGCCTTCGGCATTGATTAAAGAAAAAGTGTTGGCACCATAACCGTGCATTTTTCGGTAGCTTGCTGGAATTCCTCTGTCAGTAAACAGTTGCAAAGTTTGATGGGTGCTTTCTGGTCTTAGGGACAGAAAATCGAACAAGGCGTCATAGTCTGGACGAATATTAGTGACTGGATTCCTAAATGGATATTATCAAAATTAAGTGAGGTTACTTTTGAAGAGAAACTTATGCCAATTACAATCTTCAAACACGAATAGATTTTCAGAATGATCCTATACTTAACTTTAAACTATTTTGAAAACTCGACATGGACATGCCTCGGCTCTAAATCATTCGTTTTATTATCACTTAACTCAAATATTTCTAAAATGTCATAAGAGAGATTTATTTAAGTAGTTGTGAATAAATCACTAATATTAAAGTGCAGAATTTATCAGTAATAAAGCATCAAGTTTTGAAACGAGAAGTTCATGAAATGCTTAAAGTGGAGTAACTAATATCAAGTAAACTTTACCTTTTCAAAGAATGAATAAACATTGGAAAGTTGATGGAATCATTAACGAAAAAAATTGGGCTGTTATTGCCAACCAAATCCCAAATTCCATCTTCAGTGTAGAATTTTATGGCAAATCCACGAAGATCTCTGTAAGTGTCCGCATAGCCACGTTCTCCTGCGACTTGGGAAAATCTGACAGCTATTGGTGTTTTCTTGCCAATCTCCCCAAATAAACTGGCGGCACTGTACTGAGTGATATCGTGAGTTACTTCGAAGTAACCGAAAGCGGCACCACCTTTAGCATGAACTACCCTTTCTGGGATTCTTTCTCTGCTGAAATGAGTGAGTTCGTCGATGAGTACTGTGTCTTCTAAAAGGGTTGGACCGTGGTAGCCAACAGTGAGACTCGCTGTATGGATGCCTACAGGATTACCACCATCGGTCGTGATACTGTCATTGTTATCCTACAGAAATAATTAAAAAAATAGTTCAAAGGTTTTCCAATATCTAGCAGGTGTTCCTGGATTTTATATTGAAAAATGAATAGATTTTATAAAAAAATTAAGGATATATTCGTTATTTTCAATATAGGTATAATGTCCTGTAAATATAAATGCCTTTTTACTACAGAAAACGTGATATAAGGTACATATTCTATTTCAAACTCATTTATGTACTTACTTGATGATTTTTAGCATATTCTAGTAACACATTCGAAGCCGGATCACGAATATCATTAGGACTCACTTCGCCAAGACCCATTTTGTTGCTTGTAAAATGAACATGCACTGTCTGATTGACTGTAAACTTTTATCTCGCAATGAGAAGACTTTATACTTTTATTCCAAAGATTTTTTTGTGTTTCACCACAAATGATGGTTCTTTGTAAAAATGCGGAAACCGCAAGAAAACAACAAGCGCATATTATCACCCATCAGAGGATTTTGACCTGAATTTGAAAGAAAAACAATAATTGGTTTGTTGTGAACTGAATTTTCAGGAAATTTCAAATAATATGGCCTCTCCTATACAAGTGCTTCTGGTTTTTGATTATTGAAGAGAATCTTGTTTCCCTGTTAACCTGGATTTTCATCAAAAACTACCGTCACGTATGGGACACTTCTGTTAACAAACTCGTAAAAAATTTGAATCTTACTGCTTGTTGCATCACTCAAAATTGAAAATGCTTGTCAGCTTTGGGTCATACCTGCACCATGGGCTATTCCTCCTCCATAAGCGTTTGTCCAATGCACAGAATTTTCCAAAGTCCTGATCACATTCTGTCATTTCTTCTCACAGTAAAATAACATTTATTAAACATTTTATAAACTTCTGGATAGTTCAAATTGTCTCATTTCTCGTCGAATAAACAAATACTTTGACGAGTGAGGAGTGAGCAAACGCAAGGAATATGAACATAGGCGCCGGAATTTCAAAATTACATGGGGGCTTGGGCTCCAAAAATTAATAAGTAGAATTAATTAGACAGACAGGACTAGGCTACCAGATAGATAGACTTAAATGGGACTAGTTGACAGATACTCATTTCACTGCAGGATCGCCACGCTGGTTCATTGATCGTCCCTGCAGGTTTCTTCATATTTCATATTATTAAAATTCGTGCATCTTCGGCAACTCGGCTATACTCGGCTTCAACAGCACCATTGGCGTAGTCAGGATTTTGTCTTCATCACGCTTATTCATCAAGACAACTTATTGATTTTCTGTATGGCTTTGGAATTTGTTGTAGCTATGACGAAGTGATGAGGTACAATTCTTCAGTATCAACTACAGTTTACCGTAACGTGCAAACAGCAAACTTCGAACTACGGGGAGCTTGAAGCCGGATTGTCTGGTTCAAACGGTAGTGGACAATTTTGATATACAGATCTCCTCAGCAAATGGACTAAAATCAACAAACTCCCTCGCTATGATGCCTCGCTTTCATTCAAAACAAATTGAAAAAAACTCAACTTATGGCACGAAACAAACTTATAAATACCTAAGCTAATGGCATGGCCAAAAAATTAACTACATATATACAGGTTTGACAGGTCAACAACAGGCAAATTTTTATGCAATAGAATGAAATGTCTAGGAAAACTCTAAGGTTGAATAGAGAAGAAAAGATAACGATTTCCCCTGTTCCACCTCCAGCATTCCCAGCGCTCTTTGGCCACCTTGTTGTTGTCTCCCTCCGCTTCGCGACGGGAGGCAAACCACATCCAATACTTTTTTCCCTTGTATAATGAATAACTATTATTAATGGGATGTTGTATCTTTCGGTGTTAAATTTGCTCAATATATTGGGATATAGAATATCATCCATAACTCTTTGGAATGTAGCCGGCACGTTCTTCAAACCAAAGGGCATGCGCAAGAATTCATAATGCCCGTTTCCTGTGCTGAATGCGGTTTTTTCAATGTCGTTTTCGGGCATCCGTATCTGGTGGAAGCCGCTAGCTAAATCTAAGGTGATAAAATACTGGCAGCGAAAGAGATCCGTTATGTTGGGTAAGTGGGTATAGCAAAAACAACAAAAATATAAAACACACTAGTTTGAAATAAAAATAAATAGTTGGGAATGTTAGAATCAGGAATTCAATATTTTTGTATCGACCCACTACCACTACATACTACATACAATGCCATAATCACTATGGGGGCTCCGCCCCCATAGCAAATTTACTACGGGGGCTCAAGCCTCCATTGCCCCCATGGTTCCGGCGCCTATGAATATAAAAATGCGCATTAGAATCGGCAAATCAGCTACTGTTAGAAACAGTAATCATTTACCAAAATGTGCCCTTCGAAATGCTCAAAGACCTCCTTGAATATTTCTTCAAAATAAATTTTACTGTTTTACCTGTCACCCTTCATCATCATCATCATCCATGCTGATTGTACGAAGAATGTGGACGGTGGATCCTGAATTTTAAAGAATTGACAGTGCTTTGAACATTCTCGAATCCAAATTGAGTGCAGGCTAGATTATTTTCTCACAACTTGTAAATTTCTTTATATAACATTTTAAACAAAGCTCTAGACAATTTTTCAAGCGTGTAGTCAGCTTGATTTCTAACTATATTTTATGTTTTTTTAGAGAAAACTTTAGCTACATAACAAGAAACTAGAGCCCATAATTCCTCAATTACAATTTATAAACTGAACGCTACATCTGTGTCGTGAATATAAATATTCAGATGATTTTTATTTCTGGATTATACGGATACTGGATTGATACATTCTTGAAAAAAGTATCAGGTTTGATTTTTTATTTATTTATTATACATTTTCTTTTAAACAATTCCATAACCTAACATTGCAGACCCAATATATTTACTAATAAAATGACAATTTTTTCGATTATGAAACAGACTAAATTTCTATATGAAACTCTCCTTCGTCTCCAAACAAAGCCTCTCTCAGCCTATTCCCGAGCGACTTATCCACAGGATCAAACAAATTCTCAATAGTCCTTTTCTGAATAGCAGGCGTAGTCCTTTTCAACCAATCAACCAAATTATCAACCAACCTTTCCCTTTCATCTTCCTTCAAAACTCTTTGATACAACAATCTTGGCTGACTAAAATTATCATCATTTCCACTATCAATCCTTTTCGCTTCGCCATGTAAAGGTATACTAGGTGCAAGTTCGTGAGCCCTTTCATCATTTACTGGACCCTCGAAACTGTTGGGATGATAATTTGGTGCACCTCCCTGACTGTTAACAGTACCATAACCATCTCTCGAATAATTGTGAACTGAGTAAGGACTGTTTACTGGTAGTTGGTTGTAATTTGGGCCTAGACGATACTGGTGAGTATCTCTGTAGGCGAACATTCTTGCTTGGAGCATACGATCAGGAGAAGGCTCAATACCTATATATAAGAAAAAACTGCATTCAATAAATGACTACAATAATATCAAATTTGTCTTGCCTGGAATTAAATGAGCCACATCCATTGCAATTTGCTCAACCTCTCCAAAATAGTTACTAGGATTCTTATTTAAAACAATTCTTCCAACAGGAATTAAAGGATAGTCCGCATGCAACCACACTTTAGTTAGATCAAAAGGATCATAAGGACTCTTATCAGCCTGTTCTGGGGTCATAATTTGTATGAAAAAGTCCCAGGATGGATAGTCACCTTTTGCGATTGCATTGTAAAGGTCCCTTGTATGGTAATCAGTGTCTTGGCCTGCTAGTTTTTCTGCTTCCTTAGGTGGGATGTTTTGGATACCTACAATTTAAGTGAAATATTTCCTATTCAAAGACAATGCATATGGTACTTACCTTGGTTGGTGACAAAATGGTATTTCACCCAAGAGAATTTGCCTTCATGATTCACGAATCCATAAGTATGTGAGCCGTACCCGTGCATATGCCTGTAGGATCTTGGTATGCCTCTGTCAGAAAAGGTTATTAGAGTTTGATGGGTTGTTTCGGGTCTTAGTGATTCCATGTCCCAAAACATATCGTAATCTGGACGTAAATTGGTTACTGGATTCCTATAAAATAATGTTTAAAATAAAAATAGTGGTTTGTGTATAATAACAAACCGTTTCATGACATGTATAAAACTGGAAAACAATGCAGCATCCTTGATAAAAAATACTGGTGTATTATTCCCAACAATATCCCAAATCCCATCCTCGGTGTAAAACTTAATAGCAAATCCCCGGATATCTCTTACGGTGTCCGGATAGCCTCTTTCGCCGGCAACTGTGGAAAACCTCATAGCGATTGGCGTCCTTTTGCCGATTTCCGAAAAGGGCTTTGCAGCTGTATATTGAGTAATGTCGTGTGTTACCTCGAAATAACCAAAAGCACCGGCACCTTTTGCGTGTACTACCCTTTCAGGATTGCGTTCTTTGGTGAAATGACTCAAATCGTCCAGAAGCATTACGTCTTGGAGTAAAGTTGGTCCGTGGTAGCCTACAGTTAAACTAGCGTCTTTGTAGCCGACGGGATTACCCGAATTTGTGGTGATGGATTTTTTTTCACCCTGAAAATTGTTGTTTAGAGGAATTTCATAATCAATGTTTTTTTTCCACATTGAATTCAGAGGATAGTTAACAAAATACTGTTGGATAGAAAGACGCTACTCTATAAATCCTGAAGGCTTGAAGTAACTCTGATTGCTTTGAAGTATTTTCAAAAGTTATACATTTTTGTAAAGTGGAAAATCAGGCTTCCTGACAAAATATACAAATTGTTCCAAAAAATCGCATGTCGGTAAAATCAAATCTTAGGTTTGGTAATGCTGTGAAAATAGAATATTATGATATAAGTGTATAAGAGAGCCATTAACGCGATTTTTTCTCGGAACCTATAAGTCCAAATGAGCTTTCAGGGATTGTAGTCCTCTACTGGGATGAGAATCGCTGAAAATTTCAGCTTTCTATCTTTAATAGAAAAAAAGTTAAGACCTTTCAAAGTTTTCCAAAATCTAATTCATAAAGTAAGTACTAAAGTACTAAAACGATGAAATTTCAAAAGAGAATTTGTTAAGATTTTGTGTTTTGATGATCCTTTGAGATCCCTTGAACTCCATACACTAAATTATTCCGAGATTTGGAGCCGAATTCTATGAAAAAAGGCACTCAGAAAAATTTGCTCCCGCCCATTACCCGCGGGTTTCCTTAACGCGATTTTTTCTCGGAACCTATAAGTCCAAATGAGCTGAAATTTTCAGGGATTGTAGTTTGTCACTGGGATAAGAATCGCTGAAAATTTCAGCTTTCTATCTTTCCTTAACGCGATTTTTTCCTCGGAACCTATAAACCAAAATGAGCTGAAGTTTTCAGGGATTGTAGTCCGCCACTGGGATAAGGATCGCTGAAAATTTCAGCTTTCTATTGTTGAAGTTTCAATGTAAGTAGCGACTTCTAGCAATGGTAAATACAACTTATATTTTCAGTTGGTAATTGGTTTTTAGTTTTTTAAGTTGGCAGTATGCTGAATATTTTTTTTTTGTTTAAATAAAGTGATTTTTTATGTTTAAATAAAGTGGAACTCATCAAAGCTCTTCAGGATTTTTACTTCACATTCCACAGAAAATAAAAACATAACAGGTTATGGGCCCAGCTCGTGCGTGAAAGTAAAAAAACCCGGAGTGTTTTTGTGAGGTTAGAAGTGACATGAAATTCGGCGTGTAAAAAAATTTCCGGAACATTTTTGGACATAAAAGACTAAAATACATAAAAAACAATAAAAATGGAAGGCTTAGCAACAACCTTAAATTTAAATGGAAGTAATTGGGTAGTTTGGAAGTTCCAAACCACAGTTATGTTCAAAAGCTGAGGCTATTCTGAAATAGTGACTGGAAATACAGAAAGGCCAACAGCAACAAGCGATGCTCAAGATAAATGTGATAAAATGGATGGCAAGGCCCAAGATATTTGTCACCAGAATGGAACAGGGACCAATGACCCATATTTTGACATGTGAGACATCCAAAGACGTGGTCAAAGCTAAAATCTGTCTATGACAAGGAGTCCCCAGTAAGCATACATTTATTACAACAAAGATTTTTCTCACTAAGTTTTGGCAATGATAGTGTCTGGTCATTAATTTCAAAGTTGGAGGAAATAGAAAATAATTTAAAGCAGGCAGGAGAAGAACTCTCGGACAAAATAATAATGTCCCTTCCAGAAGAGTACAAGCATTTTTGTTCTGCTTGGGAGTCTGTTCCAATAGACAGGCCAACACTGGATGAGTTAACATTCGGATTACTCATAGAAGAAGAGAGAAACAAGTCTGGTGAAAAGAGTACAGCTCTAGCAGCAAAAGGCAAGCAAAATTAAGGTCAGAAATTGAGAAAATGCCATATCTGTCAAAAAATAATAAATCATCTTGCTAACAGTTGCTTCTATAGAAATAAAAAAGGTTCTGGCTCTGGAACAAATAATGATAATAAAGTAAAAATATGTACACATTGTAAAAGAAAGAACCATACAGTAGAGAATTGCTGGTTTAAAAAGAAAGAAGGAAGCAATGAAAAAACAGAGAGAGAAGAAAGTGACACTAATGCATTTATGGTCTATAGTTAACATAGTCAGGAAATAAATGACGTGTTTGGATACTGCTACCACCGAACACATGGCTTGGAAAAAGGAATTATTTACAGAATTAAAAGAGACGAAGACAGAAAAACAAGTTAAAGTTGGGAATGGAAACAGAATTTCAGTTAAAGGCATTGGAAAAGTGACACTTTGGGCTTGGAATGGTAAAAGGCTGATAGAAACAACATTATCAGATGTACTTTATGTGCCCGACTTAAAATTCAATTTGTTTTCTACAGGTTGTGCCTTAGACAAGGGCTACTTCATGTCAACTGATAATATGAGCTGTCAATTTGTGAATAAAGATTGCGACTGCAGAGCACTAGCTCTAAGAAAAAATTAATTGTATAAGATGCCTTTTACTATGGAAAAAAGTTCAGAAGAATACAGCGCCAAAGTTTGCATTCCTGAACCTACCCCCACAGATTCAAATCAAAACAAAGACAGCTGGGTGAACCCAATTTCCGAACGTATGCAGGCAAAAACAGTAGAAACATTGAAAGAGTGGCATTGTAAGTTAGCACATCAAAATTTAAGGCATGTGAGACTCTTTTTGAAGCAAAACAATATTGAATTTATAGACACCAAGGACTTTATCTGTGAACAGTGCTTAGCTGGCAAACAGCATAAAATGACTTTTGAAAACAGTGAATCAAGAGCACCAGCACCATTGGAGTTGGTACACTCAGACGTGTGTGGGCCCATGGAAACTGAGTCGTTGGGCGGGGCTCGCTATTTTGTATTGCTGAAAGATGACTTTTCATCATATAGCTGTGTTTTCTTTATGAAAAACAAGTCTGAGGTGAAGAAAAATCTTGAAAAATATATAAATCTTGCTGAGAGAGAAACTGGATGCCAAATGAAAATGCTTAGAACAGATAATGGACTTGAATTTATGAACAAAGAAGTAGGAGAATTGCTGGAAAGCAAAAGCATTCGCCACCAGAGGTCAGTAGTTTATACTCCACAGCAGAGTGGAAGAGCGGAAAGGGAGAACAGGACTTTGGTAGAGGCTTCCCGAACTATGTTACATGGACAAGAAAAATTAGACAAAGTTTTTTGGGCTGAAGCCGTAAATAATTCTTGCTATACTCTGAATCGCACAGGACTGAGTCCTTAAAAACTAAAGACACCCCATGAACTCTGGTACAAGAAGAATACAGATAATACAATAAATTATAAATTTTTTGGATGTAAAGTATCTGTACATGTCCTAAAAGAAGTGAGGTTAAAGTGGGATCCTAAAAATAAATATGGAATCTTTCTCGGTTATGGAGAATATGTCAAAGAATACAAGCTTTACATACCGGAAAAAAATAAAGTTGAAACACACAAAGATGTTGTTTTTCTACCAGAAAAAGTTCAACTAAATAAAACTGATGGAAAATACACAGAAAACCTGATCATGGAAGAAGAATTGGAACATGGAACAGAGGAGACTGAAGAAAATCCGCAAAATGAGGAAGTGAATGAAAATGGAGATGATAGTTCATATTATGAAGATGTCGATTCCTCAGTTGACTCAGATGTGAATGATGAAGTAGTGAATGAAAGATACGATCTTAGAAGAGAGAGGAAGAGAAACCCGAAGTATGATGACTATGAAATGGACATGGATAAAGACGATGATGAACCAATGTGCTACGATCATGCAATGGCTAATTGTGCAAGTGAAAATTGGAAGAAAGCCATGGAAATGGAGATTAGTGCATTGGATGACAATGAGACATGGTCAATTATGTGTCAAAATGTGTCTGAGTTCAACAAACCTGTGATTGACTGCAAGTGGGTGTATGAAAGAAAGAAGGACGAGTTGGGTAAAAACAGCAATATAAAGCCAGATTGGTAGCGAGGGGATTCCAACAAACAGGTATTTATAACAATGATATTTACAGTCCTGTTGCAAAGTTACCCTCGGTACGAATCTTTTTGGCCTTGTGTTACCATTTTAATTTTAAAATCTATCAGTATGTTGCGCTTTTTTAAATGGTGACATAACTGATGATGTTTACGTAGTATTGCCTCAAGGTTTTGGTCAAGATGAGATCTTTATACGGACTTGATAATTTCATTAAATTTTCAAAGATCAGAAAATGAGTATTGCATTTATGTCAAAGTTATTGAAGTTTCAAAAGTTTTTTTGCTAATTTATGTAGATGACCTTCTATTGGCAGGATCAGATGAAGCTGAGATAACTAAAATTAAAATGATTTTGAACCAAAATTTTAAAATGAAACACTTGGGTTGCGTCAGACATTTTCTGGGTATGTTGATAACGCAGAATCTTTCTCAAAACATAATAACAATTAATTAAACAACTTACCTGAAGAATGTCTTGAAACGCTTTGATTTGAAAAATTGTAAACCCAGTAATATTCCAATGGATAATAATTTCAGACATGAAAAATTGGAAATAAAGTCAGAGGGTAAAGAGATTGAAAACAGGTGCCGGAGAGCTATAGGTTCGATGATGTATGCCATGCTGTACTCCAGGCTAGATTTGTGTATTTCAAGAAGTATTTTGAGCAGGTACCAAACCTCAGCAAGCTTACAGCTCTGGCACGCTATAAAAAAAGTGCTTAGATACATTAAGAAAACTTTAAATCTGAGTTTAATTTTTGAAAAGCACACTATTAAAAATGTAATAGAGGGATTTGCAAATTCAGACTAGGCAGGGGACAGAATCGATAGGAAATCCACTTCTGGATATGTTTTAGAAGTATTTGGGTGTACTGTAAGCTGGTCTTCCAGAAAACAAGCTACAGTGGCTCTGTCGACCGAGGCTGAATATGTAGCACTCAGTGTTGCAGTTAGTGAAGCATGCTGGCTTCGATACCTACTGATTGATTGTCAAGTTGTAGATGAAAGTTGTAGTGTATTAATATATGAAGATAATCAATCAGCTATTAAAGTCTGCAAGAATCCCGAATTTCACAAACGCCTTAAACATATAGATTTAAGGTTCCACTTCATACGTGACAAAGTTAAGGAAAATATTGTGATTTTGAAGTATATTCCCACAAGTATGCAACTGGCTGACTTTTTTACGAAGCCTTTTTTCGTAACTTTGCTCACCAACTTGAGTGTGACTTAGGGCGGGTATTATAAAACTGCTTTGACAGTTAACTTGAAGTTAACTTTTTGAATTACATGTAATTCCAGAAGTTAACTTTAAGTTAACTCTCAAAGTAGTTTTATAATACCCACCCTTAGTTCAAGAAGTTTTGTTAACCAAGAAAGAAGTGTTATGATCTTTAATCTCATAAATTTGTTTTGAAGGTGTTGTTTTTTGGAAAAAAAATTAAATTGTTTTTTTTTTAAATTTACCATTGAGGGTGGGTGTTTGTTTCAATGTAAGTAGCGACATCTAGCAATGGTAAATACAACTTGTATTTTCAGTTGGTAATTGGTTTTCAGTTTTTTAAGTTGGCAGTGTGCTGAATAATTTTTTTGACAGTTTTCGTTTATGTAAGAAATAAAAAGCTGATTTTTCATGTTTAAGGGCCAAATTATGGACCAACTGGAAAGTGTCTGTTACCTAGCAGGTACCTACTTTCTATTCTCTAGTGCATAGAAAGTACCTGCTAAGTAACAACCAGACGCTTACCAGTCAGTCCATAATTTGGCCCTTAATAAAGTGAAACCCATCGAAGCTGATCTGGATTTTTACTTCATATTCCATAGAAACTAAAAACATAACATCTATCTATCCAAAATCTAAACCATAAGGTAGCTAGCTACCTTACTACTAAAACGATGAAATTTCAAAAATTTTGTTTGTTGAGATTTTGGATCCTAATGGACCTTTGGGATCCCCCGAACTCCATACACTAAATTATTCCGAAAATTGGAGCCGGATTTTATGGAAAAAGGCACTCAGAGAAATTGGAAAATTGATAAATCACTCCAAATTGATTAACACGATTTTATTTTTGGAACTATAAGTCCAAATGAGCTGAAATTTTCAGGGATTGTAGTAATTTAAATATCTAGGTAATAAAGGTTGATCAAACCTTTCTATAGCAAACCTCTGAAAAGGTAGGCGCATCATAATAATTATCCACATTACAAATGCGTTTATGAACATGATTACAATAACGAGTATGAAAGATTAGAACGACGAGGTTGTAGACCGAGTAGTTCTGACCACATGAGTTTTGTAGTCATGTTTAAACGTACGTGTGATGTACAACGTTTTATCTACAAAGCGAAAAATAAGAATGTTTTTTCAATTATTTTCATTTATTAGTCGTTGTCTACCTTTATTTTACCTTTACAGCATAGAGTTTTACAGGTTTATTTTGACATTTGTCAAATCACCAAAAATGTGTTATGAATTCCTTACCTAGTCCATAACACCACTAGTTGTGTTATGAATCCATAACCTAGTCCATAGCACCACTGTTCTGTTATGAGTCTCATGACATAATTCAAATACTAGAAAAATGGTTATGTAAAAACGTCATATAACCAAACGCTTATTGTAGATAAACATAATTTTATGCACGCTGCAGCGTGCGATAATCGATGATTATGATGCATGCGTAATAAAATAGTATATCATGATATAAGTATATAAGAGGACCTTTAAGGCACGCTCGACATATTTCAAAACACGACGCGCACTTGTTGTCGTTGTTGCAAGTTGCAACATTGTGAACAAAACATTATTATTTCCCAAAAAGATAGCGAAGATAGCAAAATTACAAAAAAATTAATAATTAAAAACTTACTTCTCGTTTTTCAGCATATTGCAGCAACTGATTTGCAGCAGCATCTCTTTGAAAAGTTTTCTTTGACGACATTCTCACAATTATTCTAATACTAGTATGCCCGATAGCCAAATTTATAGATTTTCAAAAGTAACCGCAACATTATTCCAGATACCGGATAATAACTACCAAAATATAGGGTCATTGACGCTAAACTTCAAAACCACAAAAATTCAATAGTTTATCTGTAAAAGATTGAAATTTTCGATTTCAAATGCCAGAAAGGCATACATGTGAAGTTTAATAATGTATTACACCTCCATATACATGTTTTCCTATTACTCATGTGTTACGATTGAGGCTGTAGTAGTGCATACACACACACAAAAACGACCCTAAAGGGCCGGGAACGAACACGAGAGGGTGCAAAAGAAGAGAATAAGGGGATAATATGATTCGGGATTTTCACACGCTGTCTCTTCTCATCTCCTGACCGAATTATCCAGAGTTGATCTCCCACGCTAAGGGATAATTCGGGAACAATTTTTAATTGCAGAGTGCAAGGGCCGGGATATTTTAAATCTTTTCTTAATTGGGAAGTATAATGAATAATTCAACTGCATGGATGGGGTTTTTAATTATCAAATGGAAGGAAATATTTAGAATTAGAATTGGCTGGAATAAAATAATAATAGTTAACTTAATTAGGTTTTCTTATTATAAACTCAAGTAATTGTTACCTATTACCTGCAAAAAGCATCAATAAAATGTATTAATTATAAATGTTTCCAGCTCTTGCAAAAGCATACATACAAGTTAATGAGAGGACATGTCCCAAAAATCCAAACTTCCCAAACATAATATATTATATCATCTCTTTTCCGGAATATAATATGCCATATGTGATCGTACACATTTCACACTCCATGCAGCCCTACTACCATATGTTCATCTCGGCAAAGAAGGGAGCAGGCAGAAAAACGGCCGAGAGGGACGATAAACCCTATTTTGACGGGGGCTTTCTTCATATAGGGTAAAGTGGGATAATCCGGGATTCGTTTCACTCTCGCCTTTCTGAAATCCTGTCTAGGATATCCAGAGTTGATCTCCCACGCCGCCTGGATTCGATTTAAAACGGGTTAAGATTATCTTTGGCTGGCTGGCTGGATCCTGGATCCAGAGTGTGCGGATCTCGGTAATCGAGAAGGCATTATTGAGAGGGGAGATGAAAGAAGGATGAATTTCGGAGACGACTACTGTAATTTATTTTTGAAATGTTGAAATGGATATTTCTATTCGGGGATTGAATAAGTTAAATTTTTTATCCTCCTGAAATATTTTGTATAGTTTCAGTGACGGTTGAAATTTTTGAAAGGGTTTGCACCGAGTGTCAAGTTATAAAGTACCAACACCTGTAACTTTTTTTTTTGGATAAAAAATAAAAAAGTTACTGGTAGTGGTACTTAAGGTACTTTATAACTTGACACCCTGTACACATATCTAAATAGGTACATATGTCGTGTGGGGCATGGTAATTTCTAAGATCCTTTGTTTACATTTTAATATAGTTTTTTTTAAATTATATAACTTGGCCTTTGACTTAACTCAGATTGCTTGAAGAATTCCGTATTTTCTATTTTTAGATTTTTTCGTTTTCCGCTTCGTCTCGCGAAAAATAAAGTGTTTATTGCCACTTCCTCTAAACTATCGATACAACCAGAAACGTAATTATCGAAAAATGGGGATAAGATCTCTCCAATTAAACAATTTCCGAATTCCATGTTTATTTATTGTATCAAAAATGAAATAAACTCAAGTCAATTAACTTAACTTAAATATCGTCCAAAATTAAATTCGCTCAAAAGCGTCGCGACGCTTCATCTCTGCGTTCCTGCTATCAACTTTGGCCATTCCTGGATAACCGCTAAAACCCAACCAGATGTTCCCCCTATGCCGCATAGCGTCTTGACGCCTTGATTGCACAAAGCTTACTGCCGCATGGGCGTCGCGACGTTTCACTTTCTACGTTCCTGCTACCGGTTTCAGCGTCTCCTGGAAAACCGCTGAAATTTTCCCTGGATCGACGTTTTTTCTGTTCCTGTTGCGTAATCGATAAGCGTCGCGACGCTTGTTAGGCGCTGTGTTCCTGGTAAAACGCGGAATGTTTCTTGGAATTTGGGCATACTGCGGATTCAGAGATCGGTTCTAGAGAAAATCCTGGATATACTTTGCCGTCGCGGCGCCGACGCCTCATTGCTGTGTTCCTGCTTACTATTGGGGCAAATTGGGAAAAGTTGTGCCAATGGATTTTCGTTATTTTCCAGGCCCTAATATCATTTAGGCAAAATGGAAAAATGGATCCTGGATGAATAAACAACCATCCGATATAGTTAATTGAGTTTTGGATAAAGCTTTCCAGGCGTTATAGTACCAAATTGCATTCAAATTTTTCAGCTTTGCGAACAGTTCCTTCAGCCAAACAGACGTCGGCGTCTCGACGCTCTCCCTATTACACTTATAAGCTCCTGATAAACGGTTGCTTAGATTCTGGAAATTTTTCACGTCGTATAGGAAAATCTGGCATCCAGGACCTTTGGATAGCTGGCAAATATTGGAGATGTTATGTAATCCAGTAAATTTATTATAACTATAAATAAACTACTAATTTTCTATAGTAGTGTGGCTGTTTATTACCCTGGCGTCGCGACGCTGCTATATTTTCTGTTTTCCTGGTATCAGGGTTTCTTCGGCTGTAGAGCTGTAGGTAATTTTATATCGTTGTTTATCTGTTTGGAGGTTACAGCTGTTTAAATTTTGATTGAATTTTTTTTGTTGAATTGAAAAGTACGAGGACTTCTATTGAACTTTGAGCCATATATTTTCGATTTACATAATGTGTATAAATTCAGTTATTCCAGGATCACATTTCGGGATCACGCTCCACATTTTAGTAACTACCTATATATCGGAAATCGTTGCCGGCAATCTGTGCAATAATCGCTACGACCATCTGGGAAAGTATTGGAAATTATCAGGCAGTTAGGACTTTTTGGAGAATTATCTGGACTAAATTTCATGTTAATGTTTAATGTTTGTATTGCAAAATTAAGATTATCACTTCTTTTGTATTGATTTTAAAAGTATTATATACCACCTAAATAATTTTGATGGTTCTAGTACGTTCAAAATATTCAAATTATAAGGCTACTAGGCTAAATTTAGTTTTATTTTTCTGGAATTTACCTTCCAATTCCTGTTTGAAATAATTATTTTTCATTAGTCCATTCAAAAAATTATTTATAAATTGAAATTCCTAATAAAACCTATAATGTAACGAGACATATTGTGACGACATGCCGTATTTCAAACTCGCCACCTTATTAATGTATCTCGCATCTTTCCAGTTTATTTGCTTTTGGCAACCTTTCAGAGAATTCCCGTGAAATGTGAGTTCCAGAATAATAAATTCGGTCTAATATACCATCCCGTTTTGGGGTTTGTATGGTGTATGATAAAGTTGAGATTAGATTTCCCCATTGTACGTACTCAAAAATTACTTGAGATCTCATTTTAGGCAGGAAGGACACTAAGTATTGAGGCCAAGGTGGCGTAAAATTTGTTCGATATCTCAATATAAGCCAAAATGTATCATGCAGAAAGATAGTTCTAATCTAATCACGTATTGAAGAGAAGTGAGAAATTCTGCTATCCAAATTACAGCCAATTTAGTTGTGGGTGATGATTGGATACTTTGTGTCCAAATTTACTCAAGGACAATCGAATAATGCAATTTTGTTGTGCTTCTTAACTTCCAACGTAAACTTTATTCTGGGGTCTACAGAGTTCAGATGACTGAGCATTTTTTCCAGTTCTGTCTCGTCATGGCTCCAAACAACAAAAGTGTCTACAAAGCGGAATCAAAAAGTAGGTTTATTTGTGTTTACCAAGGGTATACCTGTGAATCCGGCCTTTGTATTTGCAAATATTTTTTTATTCAGACGAAATTAACACCTTATTTATCACTATTCTCTTCGAGCAATTGGCACTACTGGGCACTGGCGACAACTATAAATTTTGTTTTTAGTATAAAGTTGATGAGCTATTGCTTAGCAGATCGGTAGTGGTACGAGCTGATTTCCCGCAGACACTTGCGTTTATTTCCTTTTTTCGGATTGTGATTACGTCTAAAAATGGTAGTTCTCCATTGTGAAATTTATGCTTGGCTTTAGGTCATTTTGTGGTCCAGCAAGAAGATGTTTAAGATTCCATGTGAAGAACGTATCATCGAAATAATGTCTTAACAGTTCAGGCTATCTATGTTTCTGATTAATTCTGATAGCTTCTGCTTCGAACCAAAATGTTAGCAGCACCACAGGAGGCAGTGGTACGTGAGCTTATGAAAAAAATTGTTCTATTTCTTCTACATACCCATATAAGTAATGATTATCTAGATATTCCAACAGGTTGGTAATTCTGCCTAATTTTATATCAGATCTTTCCAGGTGTGTAATCTTTTTCTATTCGTTGAAGATTAGCTATTAGATCTCATCTAATGGTATATAAGTTCCGTTGTTGGTATACGTTTGTATACAGATTTACATCAAAGTTGATCAGAAAATCCTCTGGCTTCATAGTGCCTCGACCAAAAAATTTAATCAAGCCTTTCCCTACCGTCACAGTTAGAGAAATAAAAATAACGGTAGGAAGGGATGGCGAAAAATTAGGATATCTTCAAGAAACATGCGATGTCTACACTATCTTAAAAAGTTTTTCCGTAATAGTGTTTTTCTTTTGTCCTTGTTTACTAAGTTACGAATTACTGCAAAAGAACTTCAGCAAACGAATTTCCAATTCTAATAGCATTGAAAATGAGGCATGATCTATAATGAATGAAATAAGAGGTAAAAGTTTTCGCTCGTCTCTCCATCCAACCTGTCCCGTAACAATTTAAATATTTTCTTCTGCTCTATAGTTGGGGCTCTTTCGTCCCAGCTCGACTTCAGGGTCAATTCTTTAGACTATTCGAGAGACAAGAATGTCTTAATTCCTTCTTATTGGCACCAGTCGAAGTTCTTGAGATCAAAGCAACTCTT